TCGGATGGAGTAGATGGAGTAGATGGAGATAGATGGAGTAGATGGAAGATTAGATGGAGGATTAGATGGAGGATTAGATGGAGATAGATGGAGTAGATGGAGGATTAGATGGAGTAGATGGAGATTAGATGGAGGATTAGGGAGGATTAGATTGAGTAGATGGAAGATTAGATGGAGTAGATGGAAGATTAGATGGAGTAGATGAGGATTAGATGCTTGATAAGAACTATGCTGAGCAACCATGTTTGTTTTTCAGAGTCATTTGACATATAGTCCCTTTTTAATGTTCATAAAGCCTGAGAATGATCATCCAGATGCCAAAATCATTCCTGGGCCTGTGTTCACAAAGTATCTCAGAGTAGGAGTGCTGATCTAGAATCAGTTTTGCCTTTTCAAATCATGATAAATTAGTGTGGGGCCTTGTGGCTTAGTGGTTAAGAGCGTTGTGCCAGTAACCGAAAGGTCGCTGGTTCTAATCCCCGAGCCGACTAGGTGAAAAACCTGTCGATGTGCCCTTGAGCAAGGCACTTAACCCTAATTGCTCCTGTAAGTCGCTCTGGATAAGAGCGTCTGCTAAATGACCAATTTATTTATTTATTATTATTTATCTTAGATCAGCAGTCCTACTCTGATACACTTTGTGAATACCAGGGTTGGGTTCAATTTGAATTGAAGGCAGTCAATTCAGGAAATTATTTGAATTCATGATTTAAAAATTGAACTTTTGAAAATAAATATCTTCCACGTTTCAGTTTATTGACAAGTTATTGAAAATAGATGCCCTTTTTTTTTTCAATTATTGAATTGGAATGTCAGTTTACTTCAATTGGAATTGACCCCAACCCTGGTTTATGCATGCCCAGATATAAGAGCCCCCAAGATATTGGCTCTACAGAATCTGAGGGTTGGAGTATGGAAAAGGGTTGATAACACCATGAGAACGATCGTCTAAGTGGTGTTCTACTAAAATACCACTAGAGGGAACTCTGATACAATCACCATCAAAATACCACTAGAGGGAACTCTGATACAGCCATCAAAATACCACTAGAGGGAACTCTAGTGGTCCTCTGTAGCACAATTGGTAGAGCATGGCGCTTGTAATGCCAGGGTAGTGGGTTCGATCCCCGGGACCACCCATACGTTAAAAAATAAATAATAATGTATGCACACGCCACCGTAAGTTGCTTTGGATAAAAGCGTCTGCTAAATGGCATATTATTATTGTTATTATTAACTCTGATACAATCACCATCAGAGCAGGACATTCAGACCACTGAATACAGTATGGTAAATGTGTGTACCCATTTGATGTTCACTGCTATATTATAATAGTTTTGTGTTTTAAAGTAATTACAATAAATGTATCGATATAAAGTACAGTGCATCTGTATGTCTAGTCATTACATGGTTCTTCAGGTCCAATAACCTGACTCCCATTGAAATCAAACTCTAGCTGGTTAAAGAGACTCGTACAGCAAGGCTAGCGTGTTCCTCATCGCTTAACAAGACTGTTGGAGAATCTCTACAGCATTTCCTTGATTCCTCATGTTCTCTCTCCTTGCCTCCTTCTCAAAACCCATTGGATGAGAAGGTCAGAGGTCCCGCCCCTCAGAACTTCTCATCCAATGGGTTTTGAGGAGGCAGCTAGGAGAGAGAACACGAGGAATCATAGGAAATGCAATTGGCGTTCTCCCATTGTTCAAATTATGCTGCAACGCAAGCACACCTTTACAGCCTATTCTTCAGGCCAATGCGGTTATATTGAACCGTCACGGTAAACTGAAATTAAAGATGACAAACAGTCAATTACTTCGGTATTTTCTTTTATAAGGACATCCTTACAAACGATAAAGAAAAAGCATGCTACATTGATGAAATCGTCTAGACAGTTGAAAGATTCTGTGGATGAGATGATTTGAACACGTAAACTTTTCGGTAGTTTGACATAGCACAATCAGAATGGCGATATAGCTACTGATATTGACATTTGTTTGGAAACTTCATTTTAACTATGCATTTATCATATCACTTGTTAAAGGGAAATAGTTAAATCGAGTTTATCTGTAATTGATTTGACCAAGGTAAATAACAAAACATGAAATCTTGCTGAATGAATCACCAAACAAATAATGAATATACTACTAGACAAAACAGAAGCTGCAACACTTCAATCCTCAAAATGTGTTTTTGCTTCCACCCAGTGTTTTGACCATAGACATACATTGGTTTTGACAAGATTCTTTTTTTTAAAACAACAAAATAGTTTCTTTCCTATGTAGTGCTTTCATTCTGTCGGTAGACATTATCTACAAATACATACAAAATTATCATACTACTAACAATGCAAGCCTAACGATTTCCTGCTAAAGAAATACAAATGTATTTGCATAATATTTAATGGACGTACATATTTAACTGATGCTAAGGTAAGTGGGCAAGCTTTTCATATCAGTCTTTTTTTTTTCCAATGACTAATTCTGGCTCTTTCTCAACTCAACTTTCCTCGATTCCTCACATCTCTCTTCGGGCTCCTTCTAAAAAACATATTGGAGAAGAAGGTCCGACAGGAAGTACCTTGGACCTTCTCTTCCAATGTGGTTGAGGAGGAGACGAGGAGATGGAACGGGAGAACTGACAAAGGTGACATGAGAAGCATTAGAGCTCCAAGATGAATCTGGTTGAAGAGCCTAGGTATGACATGGCCACAAAAAAATTTATAGGAATGTATAGAAAAATAAACTATATCTTGGTCCCGTGTTCCCACAAGCCAATCTCTTCTATATTAGTAAGTAAAACAGTGACACTTTAAAAGTCCCAGTAGAGTCAAAAAAATGTGGTTTTCCTGTGTTTTATTAAATTCCCACACTGAGGTTGAAATAATATTGTGAAAATTATGATAACGCCGTTTTAGTGTAAGAGCTGTTTGAAAAGACCGCCTGAAATTTCAGCCTGTGTTGGAAGAGATGGAACTTTGGGTCTTCCATGGTGACATCACCAGGCAGTAAATGAGTTCCAAACGGCTATGCCCACAGTTAGTTCAGTGTCCTCTCCCCCTCAGACCACTCCTAGACAGTCCTATCGAAATTCTTGCTTGAGAACTTGCTCTTTGCTAGGAAGCGATTTTCGACCATTTTAATCGAAAACAATCACAGCAAGGTACTTAATTGTTACCCAGAAATGGTTTGATACTGAGATAAAAACGGCTACATTGGACCTTTAAGCCCAAGTTTTGTCTGAAAAACACACTTTCATTTTCTGTTGGTGCAGTACCCAACTCTACCCTCTGGGGGTCACTACTGTCCCGCCCTGATATCAGGAGGTCTGAGCTGCCTCTCTCCCTCAGCCAGGAAGATCTGCATGGCTCGGTAGAGCAGGTGCACTCCCAGCTCCCTCTTCCTCTTCACCTGCCATGTGGACACCACCCCGTAGTAGTCGCCTCTCTTCAGGTTGGTCAGCATCTTCAACCCTGCAATGGGAAGATTTATTTTGTTTAAAACTGTTTACCTTATTTTGTTTCCTATATAGGTGAGTTTTTTTTTTTTTTTTTTTTATACAATTTGTAGGATTAAAAAACCTTTAAATGACACTCAAAGTTATAAATAAATGAGACAATTTTTTTGACCTAAACACTTCAATTGCAATGTAGTTCAGGTAAGAATCAAAAGCATGCAGATAAAATCTCAAGACATCCATCTTAAAAACAGTACAACCAGGCGGTTTCCTGTCCATAAGGCGGTTTCCTGTCCTCGTCTCCCTTTCTTCACTGACCGTTACGAACTACACAAGTGAAAGGAAATTACCGAAAGGCATCCTCAATATCGACTTGTTTTGTATTTTCAGATGAGTCAAAATGAAGGACAGGAGACAAGGAGATAAAGCTACTTCAGACAACTGATATGGGCCCCAAATAAAGAATGGCCACTCACCAATGGCGTCCACCATGCAGGCCTCACGTGTGTAGGCCTCCACAGGGATGACGTTCTGGAAGCAGTGCAGAGAGATCACCCCCTGCTCGGCCTTCCACACCTGGAGGATGTGCTGCACCTTGGAGCACAGTTTCTGTCCCAAAATAGAAGGAAATACATGGACATTAATGTATGAGGTGGACCATACCCTAATTTCACATGACCATTACATTAGAACTTTCGTAGACATTGTTGTTTTTCTCTTGTTATACAGTTGAAGTCAGAAGTTTACATACACTTATGTTGGAGTCATTAAAACTCGTTTTTCAACCACTCCACAAATTTCTATAGTTTTGGCAAGTCGGTTAGGACATCTACTTTGTGCATGACACAAGTAATTTTTCCAACAATTGTTTACAGACAGATTATTTCACTTATAATTCATTGTATCACAATTCCAGTGGGTCAGAAGTTTACATACACTATGTTGACTGTGCCTTTAAACAGCTTGGGAAATTGGCTTTAGAAGCTTCTGATAGGCTAATTGACATAATTTGAGTCAATTGGAGGTGTACCTGTGGATGTATTTCAAGGCCTACCTTCAAACTCAGTGCCTCTTTGCTTGACATTATGTGAAAATCAAAAGAAAATCAGCCAAGACCTCATAAAAAAAATTGTAGACCTCCACAAGTCTGGTTCATCCTTGGGAGCAATTTCCAAACACCTGAAGGTACCACGTTCATCTGTACAAACAATAGTACGCAAGTATAAACACCATGGGACCACGCAGCCGTCATACCGCTCAGGAAGGAGACACGTTCTGTCTCCTAGAGATGAACGTACTTTGGTGCGATAAGTGCAAATAAATCCCAGAACAACAGCAAAGGACCTTGTGAAAATGCTGGAGGAAACAGGTACAAAGTATCTATATCCACAGTAAAACAAGTCCTATATATCGACATAACCTGAAAGGCCGCTCAGCATGGAAGAAGCCACTGCTCCAAAACCACCATAAAAAAGCCAGACTATGGTTTGCAACTGCACATGGGGACAAAGATCGTACTTTTTGGAGAAATGTCCTCTGGTCTGATTAAACAAAAATAGAACTGTTTGGCCATAATGACCATCGTTATGTTTGGAGGAAAAAGGGCGAGGCTTGCAAGCCAAAGAACACCATCCCAACCGTGAAGCACGGGAGTGGCAGCATCATGCTGTGGGGGTGCTTTGCTGCAGGTGGGACTGGTACACTCACAAAATAGTTGGCATCATGAGGAAGGAAAATTATGTGGATATATTGAAGCAACATCTCAAGAGATCAGTCAGGAAGTTAAAGCTTGGTCGCAAATGGTTCTTCCAAATGGACAATGACCCCAAGCATACTTCCAAAGTTGTGGCAAAATGGCTTAAGGACAACAAAGTCAAGGTATTGGAGTGGCCATCACAAAGCCCTGACCTCAATCCTATAGAAAATCTGTGGGCAGAACTGAAAAAGCGTGTGCGAGCAAGGAGGCCTACAAACCTGATTCAGTTACACAAGCTCTGTCAGGAGGAATGGGCCAAAATTCACCCAACTTATTGTGGGAAGCTTGTGGGAAGGCTACCCGAAACGTTTGACCCAAGTTAAACAATTTAAAGGCAATGCTACCAAATACTAATTGAGTGTCTGTAAACTTCTGACCCACTGGGAATGTGATTAAAGAAATAAAAGCTGAAATAAATAATTCTCTCTACTATTATTCTTACATTTCACATTCTTAAAATAAGTGGTGATCCTAACTGACCTAAGACAGGGAATTTTTACTAGGATTAAATGTAAGGAATTGTGAAAAACTGAGTTTAAACGTATTTGGCTAAGGTGTGTGTAAACTTCCGACTTCAACTGTAGGTCTTTGTAGTTCCTCCTGTCGGTTGGTTGTATTGTACCAGACAGTATAAGTGCAGTGGGATTGGGTTATTTGTCTGTCAAACAGTTAAAGACAGTGACTCCAACCTTAGAAGTCTTATCTCCTCTGTGGTACTCCAGAGCCTCGTACAGATGACTGTAGGGTCGGGAGCGCTTGCCCTTGCCCACGTAGAATATAGCGCTGATGAAGGTCTGAAAACACTCCAAAGGGCTCATGGAATGACTCCGATACGGTAGGTTCTTGGTTACTCTGATGTAGGAAAAGGAAGTGACATTGTCTAAAATTAATTGCACCCCATCTCCTCAACCGTATTGGAGGAGAAGGTCCAAGGTGAACCTCTCCCCGCCGGCTTTAAGGTGAGAGGATGCAAGGAATCAAGGAAAGAGTGATGGAAAAGCCAAACGATTACAACTGACCTGGGGTCCAGTAGCAGGTAGTTGAAGCTGGACTTGATGACACCTTCCCGCCACTTCCTGTTTTGGTCTGGTTGGTCAAACTGCTGGCACAGTGCCAGCTCGTCGGCCTGGCAGTTGGGCAGCACCAACGTCCGCAGGGCCACACACAGCTCTGGACTGTGTCCCTGTGCAGGACCTAAACATACATAGCTCAGTCAGTCACCACAGCAGGAAAGAGTAGCATTTTCATAAGTAGTAATAGTTAATTGGATAATCTTTAAAAAAGGTAACTAACCCAGGTATGTAGTGGTGAAAAATCAGAAGGTGGGTAAACACTGAAGTAACCAACCACTTTACGCTAATAACTAACTTGCACCAAGTCTGGAACCCTTAACAGCCTCTACCCCCAATCCATACGACTGCTAAATAGTTAATATAGCTACCTGGACTATTAGCTACCTGGACTATCTGCATTGACCCACTAACTTTTTTGACTCAGCACATAAGCTGCTGTTACCGTTTATTATCTATCCCATTGCCTAGTCACTTTATCCCTACCTATATGTACATAAACTACATTACCATAAGTATGTGGACACCTGCTCGTCGAACATCTCATTCCAAAATCATGGGCATTAATATGGAGTTGGTCCCCCCTTTGCTGCTATAACAGCCTCCACTCTTCTGGGAAGGCTTTCCACTAGATGTTGGAACATTGCTGCGGGGGACTTACTTCCATTCAGCCACAAGAGCATTAGTGAGGTCGGGCACTGATTTTGGGGCGATTAGGCCTGGCTTGCAGTCGGTGTTCCAATTCATCCCAAAGGTGTTCAAATGGGGTTGAGGTCAGAGCTCTGTGCAGGCCAGTCAAGTTCTTCCACACCGATCTCAACAAACCATTTCTGTATGGACCTCTCTTTGTGCACAGGGGCATTGTCATGCTAAAACAGGAAAGGGCCTTCCCCAAACTGTTGCCACAAAGTTGGAAGCACAGAATCGTCTAGAATGTCATTGTATGCTGTAGCGTTAAGATTTCCCTTCACTGGAACTAAGGGGCCTAGCCCGAACCATGAAAAACAGCCCCAGACCATTATTCCTCCTCCACCAAACTTTACAGTTGGCACTATGCATTTGGGCAGGTAGCGTTCTCCTGGCATCTGCCAAACCCAGATTCGTCCGTTGGACTGCCAGATGGTGAAGTGTGATTCATCACTCCAGAGAACGCGTTTCCACTGCTCCAGAGTCCAATGGCGGTGAGCTTTATACTACTCCAGCCGACGCTTGGCATTGCGCATGGTGTTTTTAGGCTTGTGTGCGGCTGCACGGCCATGGAAACCCATTTCATGAAGCTCCCGACAAACAGTTATTGTGCTGACATTGCTTCCAGAGGCAGTTTGGAACTTGGTAGTGAGTGTTGCAACTGAATACAGGCGATTTTTAGGCACTACGCGCTTCAGGACTCAGTGGTCCCGTTCTGTGAGCTTGTGTGGCCTACCACTTCGCGGCTGAGCCGTTCCTCCTCCTAGATGTTTCCACTTCACAATAGCAGCACTTACAGTTGACCGGGGCAGATCTAGCAGGGCAGAAATTTGACCAACTGACTTGTTGGAAAGGTGGCATCCAATGACTGTGCCATGTTGAAAGTCACTGAGCTCTTCAGTAAGGCCAATGTTTGTCTATGGAGATTACATGGCTGTGTTCTCGATTTTATACACCTGTCAGCAACGGGTGTGGCTGAAATAGCAGAATCCACTAATTTGAAGGGTTGTCCACATACTTTTGCATATATAGTGCATCTACCTCAATTACCTCGGTACTGGTACTAGTACCTTGTGTATATCCCCAATTTATCGTTATTTATTATTACTTTACTATTATTTCTCAATTTTCTCTCCGTGTTGGGAAGAGCCCGTAAGCATTTCACTGTTTAAGGCGTCCTCATGCTTTCCGAAACAGTTCGGAACAGTTTGTGCATATATTATGATGACATTTTGTGATGTTTTGGTTCGTCCACACAAACGTTTGTTTGCGTTTGGTCAACAGTAGGGATTCTTCAATTAAGTTTGTTGTCATTCAACGAAAAAGGAATTGTTCATGGAAAAAAATGTCACTTGAGAAATGCTGAACCAAACATCTTAGGTGTAAGATTGCGCGACTAAGATCTCCTCGACAGAAACGTCAAAATTAAATGACAGATTTCATGAGTTACAGTGGCTTGTGAAATTATTCACCCCCCTTGGCATTTTTCCTATTTTGTTGACTTGCAACCTGGAATTAAAATGGATTTTTGGGGTGTTTGTATCATTTGATTTACACAACATGCCTACCACTTTGAAGATGCAAAATATTTTTTTATTGTGAAAAAATAACTTGAGTGTGCATAACTATTCACCCCCCCAAAGTCAATACTTTGTAGAGCCACCTTTTGCAGCAATTACAGCTGCAAGTCTCTTGGGGTATGTCTCTATAAGCTTGGCACATCTAGCCACTGGGATTTTTGCCCATTCTTCAAGGCAAAACTGTTCCAGCTCCTTCAAGTTGGATGGGTTCCGCTGGTGTACAGCAATCTTTAAGTCATACCACAGATTCTCAATTGGATTGAGGTCTGGGCTTTGACTAGGCCATTCCAAGACATTTAAACGTTTCCCCTTAAACCACTCGAGTGTTGCTTTAGCAGTATGCTTAGGGTCATTGTCCTGCTGGAAGGTGAACCTCCATCCCAGTCTCAAATCTCTGGAAGACTGAAACAGGTTTCCCTCAAGAATTTCCCTGTATTTAGTGCCATCCATCATTCCTTCAATTCTGACCAGTTTCCCAGTCCCTGCCGATGGAAAAACATCCCCACAGCATGATGCTGCCACCACCATGCTTCACTGTGGGGATGGTGTTCTCGGGGTGATGAGAGGTGTTGGGTTTGCGCCAGACATAGCGTTTTCCTTGATGGACAAAAATCTCAATTTTAGTCTCATCTGACCAGAGTACCTTCTTCCATATGTTTGGGGAGTATCCCACATGCCTTTTGGCGAACACCAAGCATGTTTGCTTATTTTGTTCTTTAAGCAATGGCTTTTTTCTGGCCACTCTTCCGTAAAGCCCAGCTCTGTAGAGTGTACAGCTTAAAGTGGTCTTATGGACAGATACTCCAATCTCCGCTGTGGAGCTTTGCAGCTCCTTCAGGGTTATCTTTGGTCTCTTTGTTGCCTCTGATTAATGCCCTCCTTGCCTGGTCCATGAGTTTTGGTGGGTGGCCCTCTCTTGGCAGGTTTGTTGTGGTGCCATATTCTTTCAATTTTTTAAATAATGGATGTAATGGTGCTCCGTGGGATGTTCAAAGTTTCAGATATTTTTTTAGAACCCAACCCTGATCTGTACTTCTCCACAACTTTGTCCCTGACCTGTTTGGAGAGCTCCTTGGTCTTCATGGTGCCGCTTGCTTGGTAGTGCCCTTTGCTTAGTGGTGTTGCAGACTCTGGGGCCTTTCAGAACAGGTGTTTATATACTGAGATCATGTGACACTTAAATAAAGTCCACCTGTGTGCAATCTAACTAATTATGTGACTTCTGAAGGTAATTGGTGTCACCAGATCTTATTTAGGGGCTTCATAGCAAAGGGTGTGAATACATATGCACGCACCACTTTTCCATTATTTATTTTTTAGAATTTTTGAAATAAGTTATTTTTCATTTCACTTCACCAATTTGGACTATTTTGTGTATGTCCATTACATGAAATCCAAATAAAAATCAATTTAAATTACAGATTGTAATGCAACAAAATAGAAAAAACACCAAGGGGGAAGAATACTTTTGCAAGGCACTGTATCTTAATTCAGACTATTTTGAGGAAGTACTGGCTACAGCGTCTCAAGATGGACAAACAGTACTATTGCCGTTTTCTTCTTGTTTTTCAAGCGAAGGTCTTTTAAGGAAGTATGCGAACACACTCGTTCGGCTAGGTGCCAGGCAAACCCGAAGCATGCGGAAGGCTTTAATGTACATGTGACGAATAAAATTTTTATTTACATAATCAACAGTGTTTACCCCTCAGTACATGTCTGATCTAACCTTAATGACATCATCATGAAATTTGATTGAGAGTTAACACAGATGAAAGGGAACATTACCTTGGGGCTGGTCCGGCAGTTGTTGTTGTTGAGTGGCCGGCTCCAGCAACAGCCGCCTCAGCCTCTGCATGTACACTGGCCGGGTGCGGCTGCTTATGGGTCCCGGACTCTCTCCCATCTCCACAAGCCTGCGTCTCAGCTCCTTGTCCGTCAGCCCTTTGGTCTCTGACCACTCCTGAGCCACCACGGGCTCCTGGTTCTCCTTCCCTTTGGCCACCGTGCCTCTGCCGCCCTGCAGGGAGCGCCAGTCGTACAGCACCGTCTCCTCGCTGCTGGACGTGCTCATGCTGGAGCTGAGTGAGGTGTTGGCCGCAGGTGGGACGTGGGTCTCGATCAGTTCGTGACCCTGCTCCGTGTCCGTGTAGAGGTACTCCACCGGTTCCTCCAGGTCCGGGACTAGAGGACGTCCGCTGGGGGTGTAGGAGAGGCTGGCCAGCCGCTGGGGCTTGTGAAAGCTGGGGAGTCGGCTCATGCTGTAGCGCGGAGTGCATCCTGGGGTAGAGGGGTGGTGACCTCTCTTTGGAGAGAAGTAACTGGAGCTGGATGAAGATGGAGTCTGGGAACTTGACAGCGATGAGCTTGAGTCGGCATCCTCTGTGGTCCAGGATTCTTCCACTCTTGGCCCAAAGCTACCAACTGTCCCCTCCTTAGTAACTGCATCACTGGAGCTGGACAAATCGTCGGTCAGAAATTCACCACCTTCAATAACGTATTTTCTCGGATAAGTGGGTAAAAGCTCTATGTGAGGATCTTCAAAAGAGTCATTATCCAGTAGAGAGAATTTGTCAGCTAAACTTGGAGTTATGATGACTGTGTCTGCCATTGTTTTAGAGATGAGGGTGTCAGCTTGGCTGGCACTAACACAAGAACCCTGACCTCTGTCATCCTTAGTGATGATGAGGGTGTCTGCTTGGCTGGCACTGACACATGACCCTTGACCTCTGTCGGCTCCGAGAGTGCTAGATTGAGTCTCCTGGCTCTCATAGATGACAAATGAGTCCCCAGAAGTACTACCTGTCCTGTTTCCAGAAAAGACAGGGGTGCGACTACGCCCGCCTGGCGTGTTGTAAAAGACGTTGTCGCTGCCTTGCGACTTGATGTTTTGGCGGCGTGTGCGTGTCGGTGTAGGCAAGGTCTGCTCAAACAGCGAGGAGGTGGACAGGAGGCTCTCGGGGGTCTTGCTGCTTCTTACCGAGCAGCGACTCAGCCTTGAGTGCGTCCTACCAGTGACAAAGGGACTTGGGGTCAGAGGCAGGTCCTCCTCCAATGCTAGAGTAGAACCAGGTCTGGGAGTGTATTCAGTCGGTGTTGTTGACAACTCTTCCACATTACCCGCTGAGACAGCAGCTGGAAATATCTCTTCACAACCTGGACCTTTGGTTGGAGATATTTTGTCGGACAATGTGAGGTTATCTACCACGCCTGGTAGTTCTTCCATGGCTGGTTTTGACCTCTTTGAGCTGTTGGGAGTTTCAGTCAGTCTGAATTCATCAGTATCTACATTGTTAGTGTCCATGGGATTGTGTGTGTGTTTGTCGTCTTCGACACCTCTACTTTTAACTTTACGCTCCTCTTCAGAGGGTGAGACCCGCCTGGGGGACGCCTCCAGGGTCGTAATGTAATGGTCACTATCACAGCTACTGTACCTACTAGCTCCACTGCTGCTGCTGCTAGCAGAGCCACACGACGGTCGTTCAGGGACCTTCACTTCTTCTACCAGGTTCTCAATGACTTCTCCGTTCTCTTCCTCAAATGGGAAGTGTCCAACAACTGTTTTTTCCATGTCAATCTCAGTGCACTCATTATTATCATCCTTGGAGAAAACAAACACATGTTCAGGGGACGTGACGTCGATCCCCTGGTAATCTAGGACGGTGGCCATGCGCTCTGGATCCAGGAACTCAGAGTATTCCGAGAAGTCGAGGGTACAGTCTTTAGAGTGGGGAATACCCTGACCCCCTGGCTCCTGCCTGAGAGATTCTGAACTAAAAACAGGGAAGTATTCGTCCACTTCCTCTCTGAAGCTCACACTCTTGCGGCTCGCGCGTCGTGATAAGCAAGGAGGGAGTGGGTCCAACTGAGGAGAGAGTCTGTTCCCAGTTGCAGGGAGATGTAGGTCTACATCCTGAGGCGGATGTAGCGCACTGCAGTCAGTGAGTGGTACGTCCTCCTGAAGTACAGGCAGTGCAGCTCTAGGACCTGCGACGGACATACGAGTGCTTGATAACACTGATGGAGGATCCCAGTCAGAGTCCATGTCCCACTCATTGGTGTTAGGGTTAGATTTATAATCAGATGCCCCTGAATGGGGTCCTCCTCTCCAACTGTGCCTGTTGCTAATAGCAGACAGTTCAAAGAATGAGGTCTGACGCGTGCTACTCAGTGGGCCCTCCCCAAAGTCACTCAGCAAGGACAGGCTGTGAGAGCTAACACTGCAGTGTTCGGATTCAGTGTAGCTTGACGCATCACCTTGGCCATTGTAAACAGCTGCAAAAAATAGAAAGGACAAAGTAATGAGACTCTTATTATCAGACTCTTATAATAACATACGATTTTATCCAAGACATCTATTTTAAAAAAAATACATTTTTAGTTATTTAGCAGACGCTCTTATCCAGAGCGACTTACAGGAGCAATTAGGGTTAAGTGCCTTGCTCAAGGGCACATCGACATATTTTTAATCTCGGGGATTAGAACCAACGACCTTTCGGTTACTGGCACAACGCTCTTAACCACTAAGCTACCTGCCGCCCCCATTTATGTGACCCGAGGGAATTGAACCCATGACCCCGACGTCGTCACATGACCCCGGCGTCACTAGCGTCATGCTCTTACCAACAGTGACACGTCACAGAGTTGTGTCAATGTGAAGGCGATGCAGTGCCTTGCAAAAGTATTCATCCCCCTTGGCGTTTTTCCTATTTTGTTGCATTAAAACCTGTAATTTAAATGGATTTTTATTTGGATTTCATGTAATGAACATACACAAAATAGTCCAAATTGATGAAGTGAAATGAAAAAAAATAACTTGTTTCAAAAAATAAATAAGGGAAAAGTGGTGCGTGCATATGTATTCACCCCCTTTGCTATGAAGCCCCTTAATAAGATCTGGTGCAACCAATTACCTTCAGAAGTCACATAATTAGTTAAATAAAGTCCACCTGCTTGCAATCTAAGTGTCACATGATCTCAGTATATATACACCTGTTCTGAAAGGCCCCAGAGTCTGCAACACCACTAAGCAAGGGGCACCACCAAGCACCATGAAGACCAAGGAGCTCTCCAAACAGGTCAGGGACAAAGTTGTGGAAAAGTACAGATCAGGGTTGGGTTATAAAAAAATTGCCGAAACTTTGAACATCCCACGGAGCACCATTAAATCCATTATTAAAAAATGGAAAGAATATGGAACCACAACAAACCTGCCAAGAGAGGGCTGTCCACAAAAACTCACGGACCAGGCAAGGAGGGCATTAATCAGAGAGGCAACAAAGAGACCAAAGATAACCCTGAAGGAGCTGCAAAGCTCCACAGCGGAGATTGGAGTCTCTGTCCATAGGACCACTTTAAGCCGTTCACTCCACAGAGCTGGGCATTACAGAAGAGTGGCCAGAAAAAAAGCCATTGCTTAAAGAACAAAATAAGCAAACATGTTTGGTGTTCGCCAAAAGGCATGTGGAAGACTCCCCAAACATATGGAAGAAGGTACTCTGGTCAGATGAGACTAAAATTGAGCTTTTTGGCCATCAAGGAAAACGCTATGTCTGGCGCAAACCCAACACCTCTCATCACCCCGGGAACACCATCCCCACAGTGAAGCATGGTGGTGGCAGCATCATGCTGTGGAGATGTTTTTCCCATCGGCAGGGACTGGGAAACTGGTCAGAATTGAAGGAATGATGGATGGCGCTAAATACAGGGAATTTCTTGAGGGAAACCTGTTTCATTCTTCCAGAGATTTGAGACTGGGACGGAGGTTCACCTTCCAGCATAGTTATGCACGCTCAAGTTCTGTTTCTTTGTCTTATTTCTTGCACAATAAAAAATATTTTGCATCTTGAAAGTGGTAGGCATGTTGTGTAAATCAAATGATACAAACCCCCCCCCCCCAATTGTTTTATTTAAATTCCAGGTTGTAAGGCAACGAAATAGGAAAAATGCCAAAGGGGGTGAGAATACTTTCGCAAGCAACTGTATATGTATAATGAACTATTAGCATCACAAATCATCTGGACAATGTCTTACAGTACTGGAAGTGAGGCAGATCTTCCTCCTCTGTGTCCAACGACTGAGACTGGTACTCCTGAAGGAGGTGAGCACATCTGCGGTTGTCCTGTTGTTTTGCCAGATCACCTGGTTTGTTCCCATCCTGCCGAGAGACGACATAAGGAGTATGGTGAGGCTGTTTGCCATACTGTAAACGGGGGGGTTTATGAAGAAGGAAAAAGTGGTGATTGTTTCAAAATCTTTGTCCAGTGTTTAGTGTTAGAGCAATTTCACGGAAACACATTGACAGACTCCGATTATTATCGTTTTTTTTTATTATGTAATGTTTGTTAACAGAATGACGGCACAAACCGTTATTCTGTTACAAACTTCGCATCTGCGCTGTTCTTCAAGTATATGTGTTTTTGCAAAAATTTTCAGTGGTAAAAGTAGTCATTTTGCATAGAGTTGTATGGTTTGTTGAACTTTGCAATCATAGGATTTTTTTTAACATACATTTTAAAGTGAACATTCTCTGTCACTATGTTACTGTGGAATTGCCTTGTAATAATGAACACCACACCAGAACAACTCAAAGTAGGCGAGAGACAGAGAGACACAGAGAGACAGACAGATAGAGAGAGACACAGACAGAGAGAGAGAGAGACAGACAGACAGACAGACAGACAGACAGACAGACAGAGACACAGAGACAGCGTTGTTTTAAGTTGTTTTACAGAACTCTATACAGAAGAACATAGTTAATATGAACATAGTTAATATGAACCTCCTGCTTTCTTGTGAATACTTACAAGTCTTACAGTAACGTAACTCATGTCTACTGTAGCCTACATTTTAAACACAAGTGCAAAAAAAATCTGAGTGAAATCAGACTAAAGGGTACCCTCTCCCACCTGATCCTTTAAGTTAGCGTTCCCTCCATTCTTTAACAGCAGTTTGAGATTCTGACAGCAACCCCATAACGCTGCTATGTGCAGGGCTGTCAAGCCATCCGAAGACCTGGATGGGGGGGGGGGGGGGGGGGGGAATGACATTTGATGTAAAGCTTTGCTGCATGCATGCTTATGACATGTTATAAGCATGCAATGGCGCCGACAGACATGGCAGCTCCGCTTCTAGCTCACAAGCATTTCGCTACACCTGCAATAACATCTGCTAAATATGTGTATGTGACCAATAAAATTTGATTTATATAGCCATGTCACAAGATGTACGGAATATGTCTAGCTATACAACATAATGGCAAGCAACACGTTACGCACATTGGAAAAACAGTTGATAACATTGTTTTACAGTAGAGCCTATTTAGTTGAATTTAGGCCTACCTGATGTTGGGGTCTGCCCCATGTTGTAGAATTAATTTTAGGCAGCGTATACTTTTCTCAGTCTCTTTTCCAACTGCCAAATGTACAGCAGCAACACCTTTGCTTCCGACAAGATTGGGATTTGCTCCTTGTGCGAGAAGAATCTGTACGGTTCTAAAATAATGTTCAGAAAATAGTAATGTTATTGTTTTGTCATTCGAGGGTGTTACATTGCATGTATGTCAATGGTTAAAACTTGGTATAAACCTTATTGACAACAAGGTTAAGTTAAACAGACATATAACTAAATAGTTAACTATGGGTAACGTTAGTTAGATAGTTACCGTTACCTTCTGACAGTAGCAAAGATTATGATCTGTGGTAGCCTAGTATCTCTGGCACTTCTCATGACTCCAATGCTACATGCTTGCCATAGTTGTAAGTTATTATGGAGTTACTGTGGATCTACTAGCTAGTAACGTTAGCGTAGCACAGATGGATACTCTTTGGTAGTAACTAGTTAGGTAAAGATATGACAGCACATTACCTTGGTTCTCCATCGTTCACAGCTTTGCACAGCTGTGTTGCCAGACTGGTCCTCCTTCGATGATGCATGACTAGCGTACTTCTGCAATATTTCGTTTGGTCATCAAAGCTATTAAGTTATCTAGCTAACTAAAAACCTGCAATTGAAGTTCTCGTGCACGTTGGATGCAATTTCATTGAGATTGATCCGCTTTGTATATTCATGTATGTTTTTGCCATTTTGATAAACACAAATACAGCTAGCTAAAGTGTTTAGCTACCATTTCATCTTCGATTTGCTTTCTTGGTTTCTCTGAAGTTCCCTCCAAGTACATAAAACCCGCCTACTTCTTATTCTTCTTGCGCGTTTCCGGCAGACTAGATGCTGTTTTGCGTATCGCTGCCTTTCTCAGGTCGGAGTGCGAATTACACATTTAAATATCTAATAGACTCACACCCCTAGGTGCAGGCTGGTGGATTATAGAAATCGCAACAGTTTCCTATGCTATTTCGCTATGCCTGTCATTTGAGGCCAAAATTGTTACAAGCAAAAATGTGGTTACACTCAACTCAGCCATCTCACAGAAAAATGTCCTCCTATCCTCAGCATACCGCCTGCAATATAACATGACATGCTTCACAGTCTCTACCTCCCCACATTCCTCACACTTCCCATCTGGGTGTTTCCCCACTAACACTAACCCACTTCCCAATCCACAATGACCCAACAATCAGCCATGTCAACAGAACCCCATTCCTCCGTTAACTCTCCAGATACCTGACCTTCCCCACAGAATTCTGGATAGAGAAAAACTGCCTTCCCAGCTCTCTCTCTCCCACTTAAAACCTGCCTATTTTGCATAGAAAGCCAATATCCCGCCTACAAGTAATACCTATTGGGTAATCTAGCATATGTCAGCATTCGGCCCAATTAGACTTTACCATCAAATCTGGGTGGCATGTATGGGGTGCATCTCAATATAATGGAGATGAATCCTTTCCTTGTTTCGTTAGTTATGATTTATTCTTAAATATTCTTTCACCATGTATAGATCAGTCAATATTTATTTAGCTAGCTATAGATCAGGGAAGGATATGAGACCAGAGTACAGGCCACTTTATGTCATCAATGATGAAATGTATGGCTCCATTCCAATAGTTTTGTATGGCTACATTCCAATAGTTTTGTATGGCTACATTCCAATAGTTTTGTATGGCTACATTCCAATAGTTTTGTATGGCTACATTCCAATAGTTTTGTTTTTACAGCTCCTTTCCTTTATCCCAGCGTTTCCCAAACTCTGTCCTCGGGACCCCAAGGGGTGCACGTTTAGTTTTTTGCCCTAGTACTGCACAGCTGATTCAAATAATCAAAGCTTGATGATTAGTTGATTATTTGAATCAGCTGTGTAGTGCTAGGGCTGAGGACTGAGTTTGGGAAACCCTGCTTTATCCCATCCTTTTTTGAATAATGATATAGCACATAATCTACTCGAAATAAATACCTGGCTACATGTACAGTACCAGTCAAAAGTTTGGACACATCTACTCATTCAAGGGTTTTTCTTAATTTTTTACTATTTTCTACATTGTAGAATAATAGTGAAGACATCAAAACTATGAAATAACACACATGGACTCATGTAGTAACCAAAAAAGTGTTAAACAAATCAAAATATATTTTATATTTGAGATTCTTCAAATAGCCACCCTTTGCCTTGATGACAGCTTTACACACTCTGGGCATTCTCTCAACCAGCTTCACCTGGAATGCTTTTCCAACAGTCTTGAAGGAGTTCCCAAATATGCTGAGCACTTGTTGGCTGCTTTTCCTTCACTCAGCCGTCCGACTCATCCCAAACCATCTCAATTGGGTTGTGGTCGGGGGATTGTGGAGGCCAGGGCATTTGATGCAGCACTCTATCACTCTCCTTCTTGGTCAAATAGCCCTTACACAGCCTGGAGATGTGTTGGGTCATTGTCCTGTTGAAAAACAAATGATAGTCCCACTAAGCCCAAACCAGATGGGATGGCGTATCACTGCAGAATGCTGTGGTAGCCATGCTGGTTAAGTGTGCCTTGAATTCTAAATAAATCACAGACAGTGTCACCAGCAAAGAACCCCCACAAATAAAAGCAAAGTCCCTTCTATTATTGGTGTCCTTTAGTAGTGGTTTCTTTGCAGCAATTCGACCATGAAGGCCTGATTCACACAGTCTCCTCTGAACAGTTGATGTTGAGATGTGTCTGTTACTTGAACTCTGTGAAGCATTTATTTGGGCTGCAATGTCTGAGGCTGGTAATGAACTTATCCTCTGCAGCAGAGGTAACTCTGGGTCTTCCTTTCCAGTGGCGGTCCTCATGAGAGTCAGTTTCATGATAGCGCTTGATGGATTTTTGCGACTGCACTTGAAGAAACTTTCAAAGTTCTTGACATTTTCCGTACTGTCTTAAAGTAATGATGGACTGTCTTTTCTCTTTGCTTATTTGAGCTATTCTTGCCATAATATGGACTTGGTCTTTTACCAAAGAGGGCTATCTTCTGTATACCACCCCTACCTTGTCACAACACAACTGATTGGCTCAAACGCATTAAGAAGGAAAGAAATTCCACAAATTAACTTTTAAGAAGGCACACCTGTTAAAAGAAATGCATTCCAGGTGACTACCTCATGAAGCTGGTTGAGATAATGCCAAGAATGTGCAAAGTTGGGTGGTTATTTGAAGAATCTCAAATATAAAATAGATTTTGATTTGTTTAACATGATTCCATATGTGTTATTTCATAGTTTTGATGTCTTCACTATTATTCTACAATGTAGAAAATAGTAAAAATAAAGAAACTTTTTATTCTATATTCCAAAATGTTCATTTAAAAACAGGATTTCATATGGTATCCACAGTATTGCGTTTCATAGTAGATTTACTGACTGAAGCCATGTCCGTTCATCTTTTCCTTCCAATAGTCATGTTACTAACTTTGACAATAAGATGGTTAACAAGCATTAACTTTTTCAAGAATAATTGTTTCTTCAAAAAATGATTTAACTTTTTATTTTAATTTGAAATGAATTCGACTAATTGCAAGTACATTTGGATAAGTTTGTATGGAGTGTCAATGGAGGTCATAGATCAGCTCAATTTACAAATATCAATGTTACACAACACCATTACTACCAATACCCCTTTCCTTTCCCTTTCCATAATAACAAACATTGTTACCCATACCTTAATAACAAACATTGCTACCCATACCTTAATAACAAACATGACTACCCATACCTTAATAACAAATATTGCTACCCATACCTTAATAACAAACATGACTACCCATACCTTAATAACAAACATGACTACCCATACCTTAATAACAAACATGACTACCCATACCTTAATAACAAACATTGCTACCCATACCTTAATAACAAACATGACTACCCATACCTTAATAATAAACATGACTACCCATACCTTAATAATAAACATGACTACCCATACCTTATTAACAAACAAACATGGGTTGAACATTACTACCCATACCTTGATTGAACATTAGCAATGCCAAAAAATAAGGTATATCAATATTGCAGGACGGAAGAGCTATCTGGGTGTATCTATTGGTCCCGTGCAGCTCAGTTGGCAGAGCATGACGCTTGTCAGGGTTGTGGATTTGATTCCCACGGGGGACCAGTACAAAAATGTATGCACTCACTACTGTAAGTCGCTCTGGGTAAGATTGTCTGCTAAATGACTAAAATGTAAAATGTCTGTGTGGTGAAATATCTGATAAATCTCAGTAGATTAATCCTAGCTGGGTCTCCACATGTTTCCTAAACAGACAGATACAATGGAGATAAGGGCAGGTATGAGGTCCATCAGACAGAGAGGAGGGCAGGTATGAAGCCCATCAGACAGAGAGGAGGGAGAGGAGGGCAGGTATGAAGCCCATCAGACAGAGAGGAGGGAGAGGAGGGCAGGTATGATGTCCATCAGACAGAGAGGAGGGAGAGGAGGGCAGGTATGAGGTCCATCAGACAGAGAGGAGGGAGAGGAGGGCAGGTATGAGGTCCATCAGACAGAGAGGAGGGAGAGGAGGGCAGGTATGAGGTCCATCAGACAGAGAGGAGGGAGAGGAGGGCAGGTATGAGGTCCATCAGACAGAGAGGAGGGAGAGGAGGGCAGGTATGAGGTCCATCAGACAGAGAGGAGGGAGAGGAGGGCAGGTATGAGGTCCATCAGACAGAGAGGAGGGAGAGGAGGGCAGGTATGAGGTCCATCAGACAGAGAGGAGGGCAGGTATGAGGTCCATCAGACAGAGAGGAGGGCAGGTATGAAGCCCATCAGACAGAGAGGAGGGAGAGGAGGGCAGGTATGAGGTCCATCAGACAGAGAGGAGGGAGAGGAGGGCAGGTATGAGGTCCATCAGACAGAGAGGAGGGAGAGGAGGGCAGGTATGAGGTCCATCAGACAGAGAGGAGGGAGAGGAGGGCAGGTATGAGGTCCATCAGACAGAGAGGAGGGCAGGTATGAAGCCCATCAGAGAGAGAGGAGAGAGAGGAGGGCAGGTATGAGGTCCATCAGACAGAGAGGAGGGCAGGTATGAGGTCCATCAGACAGAGAGGAGGGAGAGGAGGGCAGGTATGAGGTCCATCAGACAGAGAGGAGGGAGAGGAGGGCAGGTATGAGGTCCATCAGACAGAGAGGAGGGCAGGTATGAAGCCCATCAGAGAGAGAGGAGGGAGAGGAGGGCAGGTATGAGGTCCATCAGACAGAGAGGAGGGCAGGTATGAGGCCCATCAGAGAGAGAGGAGGGAGAGGAGGGCAGGTATGAAGCCCATCAGAGAGAGAGGAGGGAGAGGAGGGCAGGTATGAGGTCCATCAGACAGAGAGGAGGGCAGGTATGAAGCCCATCAGACAGAGAGGAGGTAGAGGAGGGCAGGTATGAGGTCCATCAGACAGAGAGGAGGGCAGGTATGAAGCCCATCAGAGAGAGAGGAGGGAGAGGAGGGCAGGTATGAAGCCCATCAGACAGAGAGGAGGGAGAGGAGGGCAGGTATGAGGTCCATCAGACAGAGAGGAGGGCAGGTATGAAGCCCATCAGACAGAGAGGAGGGAGAGGAGGGCAGGTATGAAGCCCATCAGACAGAGAGGAGGGAGAGGAGGGCAGGTATGAGGTCCATCAGACAGAGAGGAGGGCAGGTATGAAGCCCATCAGACAGAGAGGAGGGAGAGGAGGGCAGGTATGAGGTCCATCAGAGAGAGAGGAGGAAGAGGAGGGCAGGTATGAGGTCCATCAGACAGAGAGGATGGCAGGTATGAGGCCCATCAGACAGGTAGAAGGGCAGGTATGAGGCCCATCAGACAGATAGGAGGGCAGGTATGAAGCCAATCAGACAGAGAGGAGGGAGATGATGGCAGGTATGAGGTCCATCAGACAGAGAGGAGGGCAGGTATGAGGCCCATCAGACAGAGAGGAGGGCAGGTATGAGGTCCATCAGACAGAGAGGAGGGAGAGGAGGGCAGGTATGAAGCCCATCAGACAGATAGGAGGGCAGGTATGAGGCCCATCAGACAGGTAGGAGGGCAGGTATGAGGCCCATCAGACAGATAGGAGGGCAGGTATGAGGCCCATCAGACAGAGAGGAGGGAGAGGAGGGCAGGTATGAAGCCCATCAGAGAGAGAGGAGGGAGAGGAGGGCAGGTATGAAGCCCATCAGACAGAGAGGAGGGAGAGGAGGGCAGGTATGAGGTCCATCAGACAGAGAGGAGGGCAGGTATGAAGCCCATCAGACAGAGAGGAGGGCAGGTATGAGGTCCATCAGACAGAGAGGAGGGCAGGTATGAAGCCCATCAGACAGAGAGGAGGGCAGGTATGAGGTCCATCAGACAGAGAGGAGGGAGAGGAGGGCAGGTATGAGGCCCATCAGACAGGTAGGAGGGCAGGTATGAGGCCCATCAGACAGATAGGAGGGCAGGTATGAGGCCCGTCAGACAGAGAGGAGGGCAGGTATGAGGCCCGTCAGACAGAGAGGAGGGCAGGTATGAGGCCCATCAGACAGGTAGGAGGGCAGGTATGAGGCCCGTCAGACAGGAGGGAGAGGAGGGCAGGTATGAGGCCCATCAGACAGATGAGAGGGAGAGGAGAGCAGGTATGAGACCCATCAGCAGCACTATGAGGCTGGGGTGGATGGCTCCTGCGTGGTCAGGCTCAGGCTCTGTCTCTGGCTCTGGGTCTGGGATGAAGCAGCCTGTGTAAGGCTCAACGCAGGCTGCGTAGGCCATGACGTGGGCGATGTAGCTCTGCTCCTGGACCCCGTGGAAGAGGTGGGCCATGGGGCCCTTGGCAAAGATGGCCACGTCCTCTGAGCCGTGGGTCTCAGAGTCCAAAGGAACGGCTGACTGCTGCTTGTAATCTTTGTGAGCTGAAGGGGAGGTGAGAAGGAGAGCCAGAGTTAAGAGAGAGAAAATAATCATGCTGTCATGCAGTTTGGAAACTGTAGGACTTTTAAGGAGAGTTTGAAAAGAGGGGGGTGATAATTAAACAACTAATAAACAAACGATCGTTGGCTTTAATTTAGATGTTTATTTCCTACATGATTAACACATAGAACACGCATTGAAACTCTTAGTGTGCAATAACTGATGTCAGGGTTGGGGTTAATTCGAATTGAAGACAGTCAATTCAGGAAATAAACTAACGTTTCAATTATATTTTAAATGACTTCTCAATAAACTGAAAAGTAGAAGATATTTATTTCAAAAGTTGTATTTTCTATTTATTTTTTACATGTACTGCCTTCAGTTGGAACTTAAACCAACCCTCCATTTGATTAGACAAGCTTATCTTATTTTGCTGTCATGTTCCTCTACAGATGCTGTCACATTTAGAGCTCCTTAATATGACAATCAGAGCTCCTTAATATGACAATCAGAGCTCCTTAATATGACAATCAGAGCTCCTTAATATGACAATCAGAGTCCTTAATATGACAATCAGAGTCCTTATATGCAATCAGAGTCCTTAATATGACAATCAGAGCTCCTTAATATGACAATCAGAGCTCCTTAATATGACAATCAGAGCTCCTTAATATGACAATCAGAGTTCCTTAATATGACAATCAGAGCTCCTTAATATGACAATCAGAGCTCCTTAATATGACAATCAGAGCTCCTTAATATGACAATCAGGTCCTTAATATGACAATCAGAGCTCCTTAATATGACAATCAGAGCTCCTTAATATGACAATCAGAGTTCCTTAATATGACAATCAGAGCTCCTTAATATGACAATCAGAGTTCCTTAATATGACAATCAGAGTTCCTTAATATGACAATCAGAGTTCCTTAATATGACAATCAGAGCTCCTTAATATGACAATCAGAGCTCCTTAATTGACAATCAGAGCTCCTTAATATGACAATCAGAGTTCCTTAATATAAACAATCAGAGTTCCTTAATATGACAATCAGAGTTCCTTAATATGACAATCAGAGCTCCTTAATATGACAATCAGAGCTCCTTAATATGACAATCAAGCAATTCCTTCAATCTATGACAATCAGAGTTCCTTAATATGACAATCAGAGTTCCTTAATATGACAATCAGAGCTCCTTAATATGACAATCAGAGCTCCTTAATATGACAATCAGAGCTCCTTAATATGACAATCAGAGTTCCTTAATATGACAATCAGAGTTCCTTAATATGACAATCAGAGCTCCTTAATATGACAATCAGAGCTCCTTAATATGACAATCAGAGCTCCTTAATATGACAATCAGAGTTCCTTAATATGACAATCAGAGTTCCTTAATATGACAATCAGAGCTCCTTAATATGACAATCAGAGTTCCTTAAATATGACAATCAGAGTTCCTTAATATGACAATCAGAGTTCCTTAATATGACAATCAGAGTTCCTTAATATGACAATCAGAGTTCCTTAATATGACAATCAGAGCTCCTTAATATGACAATCAGAGTTCCTTAATATGACAATCAGAGTTCCTTAATATGACAATCATAGGTTCCTTAATATGACAATCAGAGTTCCTTAATATGATGATCAGAGTTCCTTAATATGACAATCAGAGTTCCTTAATATGATGCATTGCTCAAAAGCAAAACGTACCTGCTTCCGTGGCGTTCACATCTGCACGAGATCCATTGACTAACTTGTATCCTGGTCCATTTCCATAGAGTGTGGTGGTAAAGCTCTTTTTATCGTCAGCCAATACACGGGTCAGACCTTCAAGACACAAATGCATACCAGCATGACATTAGATTTTGTCAGCCTAACACTAAGCTTGCTCAAATACACATAAACAGCCCCCTTGACCACATAGTTATATAAACCCCTATGTCTAGCCCCAAGAATACCATTAAAGCCAATGGAATAGGGGTCTGATCTATACACTGCACTTTTGGGCCATAGCTGATGGACCATATATGATGTGGCCTACCCAGGGATGCAAAGAGAGCATATATTACTGGAAACTTTCTAACATTTTGGTAGCTTTCACCTCTGAAATCAACATTTATTTTACATTTAGCTCAACATTAAATTATTTCACCAATCAGTGCTGATAGAGCAGCTCGTTATGGAGCGGGCAAAATTTCAGTCGCATCTCGCGTCCATCGCACATGTAAACAACTATAGTTTGTTCGCTCCATAACGAGCTGCTCTATCAGCACTGATTGGTGAAATAATTTAATGTTGAGCTAAATGTCAAATAAATGTTGATTTCAGAGGTTTAAAACGGAACAGAAAGGAACTATCCACTGAGTGTACAAAACATTAAGGACACCTTCCTAATATTGAGTTGCACCCCCCCTCTTTGCCCTCAGAACAGCCTCAGTTCGTCGGGGCATGGACTCTACAAGATGTCGAAAGCGTTCCACAGGGATGCTGGCCCATGTTGACTACTATGCTTCCCACAGTTGTGTCAAGTTGGCTGGATGTCCTTTGGGTGGTGGACCATTCTTGATACATACAGGAAACTGTTGAGTGTGAAAAACCCAGTAGCGTTGCAGTTCTTGACACACTCAAACCGGTGTGCCTGGCACCTACTACCCTACCCTGTTCAAAGGCATTTAAATATTTTGTTTTGCCCATTCACCATCTGAATGGCACACATACACAATCCATGTCTCAAGGCTTAATAATCCTTCTTTAACCTGTCCCCTCCCCTTAATCTACACTGATTTAAGTGGATTTAGCAAGTGACATCAATAAGGGATCATAGTTTTCACCTGGATTCACCGGATCAATCTATGTCATGGAAAGAGCAGGTGTCCCTAATGTTTTGTACAGTCAATGTATAAGCCAGTAGTTTCTGGGGGTTCAAAACGGTTCAGAACTTTATTTTGCAGGTTGGAACAGTGGAACGGAACAAAAAAAAGAATGGTTCTGTTCAGAACTAAAATAATTTTGGTTCCAATCCCTGCTTTCAAGTTTATTTGTACTTTGTCTATAAGATGACATCTACTGGTCTTTTTTGGGTACTTCAGATGATCACAGGTGTCTGCAACTATCTCTGACCCTCTGTGTGGCCTTATCACATGTAACATATATACAATAATCAAAAAATATGATTTTAAAATAAAATAAATTATGATAAAGTTGTAAAACAATATCCTAAATATAAACCATCAACTTAGTGAATACTATTGGTGTTTAATATGATTACTTTGGCAAATTACCGGTAGCTTTGCAACCCTACCTATGGACTTCATGATGTAGCCTACCTAAGACGGGGTTCCCTCTGTCGGAGTTCCCTCCAAAGGAGAAGACATGGGAGTGGTCAGCGGTGACCACAGACAGAGTGTCCAGCTCACTGGTCAGTTCTGCCGCCCGCTCGATAGCATTGTCAAACTCCACCGCTTCCGTCAGGGCAAATTTGGCCCCGCTGCTATGGTGACCGTGGTCAATTCTCCCCCTTGAAGTGAAAACCCGCCCCCCCCAGTAATTGTCAATACAATATGATAATTATTAATTATCTTTATTAGTCCCCTCACTCGCAGCAGCTTTAAAAAGATGTGATAGGCTGTCAAAACTGTACTCGATAAAGGATAAATTATGTCACTGTGAGAAGGAATACCATGTACCAATTGTTAACCAAATGTAAGCACTAAAATGGAATGAGATACTTGACAGTCATTGATTCATAGGGCTTGAGTTAAGCACCCTATATAGACATGATTTCTTCCACAATTACTCCCATACAATACACTCCCCAACTACCGTCAACTGCATTAGTTTACACTAAATAGCTCTCCTCCTCCCAACTATATTCTCAGGCCTAGATTCCCTGACATGGACGTCATAGTTTGGGGATGCTGAGTATTAATACTCATCTTCCACAAAGAGGTAGAAGCCTTTGGGGTTCCTGCGGAGGATCTTGATGGCTTTGTCCACCATCTCAGTGAGGGAGGGGTCCATGGCATGATCTCGCTCCAGCTCGTAGCGGCAGTCACTTGGCTCAAACAGACCTGGATTAAGAAAACACAGGTAAGAAGCCAACATATTGTTACTGGATGTGGGTAAAATACGATTCAGAAAAGAAGCATTCGGTAATATTGACTATTCAGGTAAAGCTCAGTGTTCTTTTCTAGCAGAGCGAGATGTATGTAGATTCTTACCCATCAGATAGTCCGTTTTTTCGGGATTCACTGCGTCAAATTCAGCTTTGTTCCACACATACTTTGCATTCTATAAGGCAGAGGTACGGGTATGGGTTAAATAATAAGGGCTGAGAAATGGTGAAAATGCAGGGAAGTGGAAGTTGTCTGATCTCATTAAGACTTATCGTCCAGATTCAGACTTTTTGTTCAGCCTACAGATACCATAACACAAGGGTCACCAACTGCCAAGGTTGTCTTAGTTGGTATAACACATTCAGCCCAGCATTACCCCATTGCTGTGAATGAGTTATTTGATACAATTGTAGTGAATCGACAAAGTCAAGGTGTAGTGTCTGCAGCCATGTTTACCTGTTTGTTCTTAAGCCACACAGCAGTGAGGTCAACCTTGTCATTACGGCTTCCGTTGTATGAGGGGTATTCTGGGTCCTGTGTCTCCTTGGGAAACATATATTTTCGTCCTCCTCCAAGAATGACCTGTCACAGGACACATGGAGGTTAAATGGACAGTAGATGCTGGTTGGTTTCCATGTATGGATCAATGTTCACGCTGTGGGATACATTTTGGTAGCCTGCAGAAAGCAGTCTAATCGCTCACCATTCTATTTCACTTCACTGACAATCAACTTGTCAGCAATTGGGTTACTTTCAACCAATCAGAGGGAGGCTTAATTCAAAGCATAATGAGGGAACAGACAAAAGCGGTGAGGGAGGAGAAGCCTTTTAAAATCTAACAGTAATTTTCAAACAAAGGCAGATAAAGTGTGTTTATCCAAAGCGATCCCTTTAGCATGTGAACACAGAATCCTTCTCATTACTTTTGTTTTGAGCCGACGTCGTTGTCGGCCAGAGTGGGGCACCTCGCTCACGCACGGGAGGCAGCACAGTTACAAAATGAATTCCGGTGCAAACTCCTCCCACCGGGGCAACCCCAAACTCCTCCAACCCGGGCAACCACAAACTCCTCCCTCCGGGGCAACCCCAAACTCCTCCCTCCGGGGCAACCCCAAACTCCTCCCTCCGGGGCAACCCCAAACTCCTCCCACTGGGGCAACCCCAAACTCTTCACATCTGGGCAACCACAAATTCCTCCCACTGGGGAAACCCAAAACTCCTCCCACAGGGGAAACCCAAAACTCCTCCCACCGGAGCACCCCACGACAATTAATCAGTCCCCTCAGTCCATATTGAGTTTGGCCATTTGGATTTTTGTCCTAAACTCACCCACTGTTTCTGAGAGGATACTGATATGACCATCCATTTTCTGTCTTATTTCAAACGCCCATCTAGTGGATTAATTCCATGTTCACGTGCTAATAGGAACTAGGAAAATGTAGCAAGTTGGACATTTCTGAGTTTCAGAGTTCCGACTAGCACCTGAATGCAGCATAAGCCCAGACTGATAAGTAAAGTGAAATAGAATGGTGAACGCAGCGATCAGGCTGGTTCCACCAGGATAATAGAATGGTGAATGCAGCGATCAGGCTGGTTCCACCAGGCTAACAGAATGGTGAATGCAGCGATCAGGCTGGTTCCACCAGGCTAATAGAATGGTGAATGCAGCGATCAGGCTGGTTCCACCAGGATAATAGAATGGTGAATGCAGCGATCAGGCTGGTTCCACCAGGATAATAGAATGGTGAATGCAGCAATCAGGCTGGTTCCACCAGGATAATAGAATGGTGAATGCAGCGATCAGGCTGGTTCCACCAGGATAATAGAATGGTGAACGCAGTGATCAGGCTGGTTCCACCAGGCTAATAAAATGGTGAATGCAGCAATCAGGCTGGTTCCACCAGGATAATAGAATGGTGAATGCAGCGATCAGGCTGGTTCCACCAGGATAATAGAATGGTGAATGCAGCGATCAGGCTGGTTCCACCAGGCTAATAGAATGGTGAATGCAGCGATCAGGCTGGTTCCACCAGGCTAATAGAATGGAGAATGCAGCGATCAGGCTGGTTCCACCAGGCTAATAGAATGGTGAATGCAGCGATCAGGCTGGTTCCACCAGGCTAATAGAATGGAGAATGCAGCGATCAGGCTGGTTCCACCAGGCTAACAGAATGGAGAATGCAGCGATCGGGCTGGTTCCACCAGGATAATAGAATGGAGAATGCAGCGATCAGGCTGGTTCCACCAGGATAATAGAATGGTGAATGCAGCGATCAGGCTGGTTCCACCATGCTAATAGAATGATGAATGCAGCGATCAGGCTGGTTCCACCAGGCTAATAGAATGGTGAATGCAGTGATCAGGCTGGTTCCACCAGGATAATAGAATGGTGAATGCAGCGATCAGGCTGGTTCCTCCAGGATTATAGAATGGTAAATGCAGCGATCAGGCTGGTTCCACCAGGCTAATAGAATGGTGAATGCAGCGATCAGGCTGGTTCCACCAGGCTAATAGAATGGAGAATGCAGCGATCAGGCTGGTTCCACCAGGCTAATAGAATGGAGAATACAGCGATCGGGCTGGTTCCAGGATAACATTTTTGGAGTAGGTTAATGTAATGTTTCAGGTGGTTGTAGGAATGCTACATTCCAAAAAAGCTTGGAAAGTGTGGAATTACTTTTTAAAAAATTGAATGTTGTAGCTATCTTGAATTATCTTGCTTGATGAATTAACTGGCCTGACTCAACTGATATGTCTTGCAATGTAAACAATACACATTCAAAGGAACATGATACTTTATTTTTTCATTGACATAAGATAATACCCATTATTGTGCTCAATATCCTTGAAAGTCAGCCATCTTGTCTATTATCTAAGATGGCCACCTCTGGGGTCTTACATTGATGTCAGTGTTGTTGACCATCTGGTAGGCGATGTCACGGCATCCTGCTGCAATGTCTTCGGCGCTCATGTCGGAGTCGGCGTACCAGCCTCGGTCGGCCGTGTGGGAGTAGGCGGCTCCAGGAGAGGCGTGCTGCACACGGGCGGTGGAGACGATGCCCACCGACTTCCCTGAAACGCATCAAAACACAAGGCACCAACGGAAGAAACCGAGTGAAACTGAGGGAATAGGGGTGGTACATGTCAAATCAAATCAAACTTGTCCAATAAGAAACACTCTTTTTTTCTTTTCTATGGTCACTAAAAAACATCTCAATATCTAGCTACTATAACTCTGGAAATACCAATGTGATATTTCCCTTTTCACAGGTGGCTTAAAAATAGGTCATGTCTCAATACAATTAAAATTGTCCCGGGTTGTGTCTCAATACACTTTAAAATAGTCCCGGCTAGTGTCTCAATACACTTTAAAATAGTCCCGGCTAGTGTCTCAATACACTTAAAAATTGTCCCGGGTGGCGTCTCAATACTATAAAAAGTTGTCCCGGGTTGTGTCTCAATACCATTAAAAAGGCCTTCTTTCCTCTTCTTTCACTGATGACCACTAATTTAATGAAAGCTCTGGATGGTTTTCCACCACAGGTCCATCTCCAGTTTAATGAATGCTCTGGATGGATTCCCACCACAGGTCCATCTCCAGTTTAATGAAAGCTCTGGATGGATTCCCACCACAGGTCCATCTCCAGTTTAATGAACGCTCTGGATGGATTCCCACCACAGGTCCATCTCCAGTTTAATGAAAGCTCTGGATGGATTCCCACCACAGGTCCATCTCCAGTTTAATGAACGCTCTGGATGGATTTCCACCACAGGTCCATCTCCAGTTTAATGAAAGCTCTGGATGGATTCCCACCACAGGTCCATCTCCAGTTTAATGAAAGCTCTGGATGGATTTCCACCACAGGTCCATCTCCAGTTTAATGAAAGCTCTGGATGGATTTCCACCACAGGTCCATCTCCAGTTTAATGAAAGCTCTGGATGGATTCCCACCACAGGTCCATCTCCAGTTTAATGAAAGCTCTGGATGGATTTCCACCACAGGTCCATCTCCAGTTTAATGAAAGCTCTGGATGGATTTCCACCACAGGTCCATCTCCAGTTTAATGAAAGCTCTGGATGGATTCCCACCACAGGTCCATCTCCAGTTTAATGAACGCTCTGGATGGATTTCCACCACAGGTCCATCTCCAGTTTAATGAAAGCTCTGGATGGATTCCCACCACAGGTCCATCTCCAGTTTAATGAAAGCACAGGACCTGTGGTGGAAATCCATCCAGAGCTTTCATTAAACTGGAGATGGACCTGTGGTGGAACTCGGCCCAGGACCGAGTTTGGGAAACCCAGCAATAGACTATTGAGACAAGGAGCCTAATTAACCCCCTACCTGCCATCTTGGCACGGTGAAGGACAGATTCGACCTCGTTTCCGAAGGTGGTGCTGCAATTGTAGCGGATAGCTGAGGCACTGAGACCCAGGGTTCCATAGTTGGCCTTCACACCACACAGGTAGGCCGTGGCCGTGCCGGCACTGTCAGGCATCTGCTGGTCCACGTTGTACGTCTTCAGGGTCAAATACACGCACACACACACACACACACACACAGACACACACACACACACACACACACACATATTTGTTGTAAACCAGTGAAACATCTTAATTCACATGTATCCATTATACCAGGGTTGAGTTCAGTTCTACACAAAATTAATTGGATAAATTAATTATTATTTTATTTTTAGTAATTTATTTCCTGAATGGATTCAATTACAGTGGAATGGAACCTTCCCCTGGTATAAACATTATCATTATAATGGTAGTATTATGCTATTACTAGTATCCTGAAATCATGAAGGGTTAACCACACATCTTTACAGCAGTAGGCCTGTTCAAAGTGGTGAACACAATCCATCTTTGAAGCATCTGACATCAAATGAAAATGATAAGGTTCAAATGACATGGGCTTCATGAGAGGAGACCTTAGACAGGGCCAGGTGTGGGAAGGTATCCATGGCCAGGCTAAACTCCTCTCCGGTCCCTCCGTTCATCTGCCCTTTGAGGATCCTGGCTGCAGTCACTGTGGGGATGCCCATACCTGTATGGACGGGGGTGGAGCATACAACCTTTAGACAACTTCTCCTGAAAGACACACAACCTTTAGACAACTTCTCCTGAAAGACACACAACCGTTACACAACTTCACCTGAAAGACACACAACCATTACACAACTTCTCCTGAAAGACACACAACCGTTACACAACTTCTCCTGAAAGACACATAACCGTTACACAACTTCTCCTGAAAGACACACAACCGTTACACAACTTCACCTGAAAGACACACAACCGTTACACAACTTCACCTGAAAGACACACAACCGTTACACAACTTCTCCTGAAAGACACACAACCGTTACACAACTTCACCTGAAAGACACACAACCGTTATACAACTTCACCTGAAAAACAAACAACCGTTACACAACGTCACCTGAATTGACAGATAACGTTTATACAGCTTCTGCTGAAAGGAGGGCTGTACCCTGAGCTGCGCGCCAGATAAATAATCAGCTAATCAGAAAAGGAACGTTAAGTAGACAACCTCAGCAGGAGGGTCAGCCAAGGAATGAAATTATACTCCTGAGCAAACATTCCGTAACTGCAGGTGGCAGTAAATCCCCAACCTGGGCGCTTTATACCTGTTCAGACCGCACACACTCCGCACAGTAGGTGGTAGTATGCATCTGATCACATTATCTATCAACTGCCAATACACTCAAAGAAGTAGAAGAAGAAATTGATTTATTTTAGAATGGAGAGAGCTACCCCTCAATGGTGCCGCCCAGGCTGTCACAGAAGACACCATTGCAAGGATAGAAAGTATGCTATCTTTCCATATCTATGACAGCGATTACTTATATATACATTTATATACACGTTTACTGTAACATATACATGTATATATACTGTATTTATATGTTACTGTAAATGTGTAAAAACAGTAAATCTACACATTCCCAGAATGCATTCCCAGAATACATGCACACGTGGATTCCCAGAATACATGCACACGTGGATTCCCAGAATGCATGCACACGTTGATGGTTGCATCCGCCTGTCCTTGCATATCAGAGGAGCTCTGTCTATAACTGATAAAACATGTATAACTAATACAATGTCTAACTTTCAGTCCAACCACTGCCTCGCCGCAAGACCTGATAATGACTGCATGGTTCAATTAGCTACAGTATGTCATCTCTAACATTGACGGGTGATTACAGAATATCAGATCTAACATTGATGGGTGACGACAGAATATCAGATCTAACATTGATGGGTGACTACAGAATATCAGATCTAACATTGAATGTGTGTGATTTAGGTACTGTTGCCAGCTCAGTGAACATTTACAGTATATTCTGGTTGCATGCTGCTTGTTATCTATTAAAGGTATAGTGTTAGATTTAGGTAACTAAGCCATTTTTATACTTATTCAGAGTCAGATGAACTCATGGATACCAGGAACAGCTAGCATGCTGGGAAGCCTGTCCCAACCATAAATTAGTTCTCCCTACAAGGAGTTTAACTTGATAAAATGGCAACCTTGTGATTCGAGAGAGAGCTATAGCTTTTTTCATTACTTTGATTCAAACTACATGGATACCAAATGGGAATCTATTCGTTTTCAGATCTGGGTTAGTATTTTTGTTTTCAAATACTTTACTGGCGCTTGATTGAGCATGGTCTGGTACAATGGGAAGCTATGTTGCTATTGGATATCTCCTTCACCTTAAAGTGAACCCTGTTCAAGTGAGAACCAACGCGAGTTAATGTGTGGCTCAGTTGGTAGAGCGTGACGCTTGCATTGCAATGGGTTGTGGGTTTGAATCCCACGGGGGACCGATATGCCGCTGGCCTACTTGATCTTACCTGTTACTTATCTGCCTTATATCTCATAAACATGCCATTTATGAGCAGGTGATGTAAAGTTAGCAAACAATAACATCTTATTAATAAGATCATCATGGAATAGCTGAACTAGCACTAGCAGATAAGACTCAATCAATCCAACCAAGAGTGTTAATCAGTTTTCAATGAGATGAAAGCTGATGTATTTTAATGAATTATTTATGATTTATTTATGATCAGGGTCATTATTGACTGTCACTATGTTTAACATTTTAATCGTTTAAGTCTATTGTCTTTACACAGAGAGAATGGATTCCTTTAAGTCCTCATTCTGCTTGTAAAACATGCTTTCATGGTTTCCTTTAACTAAACAAATCACTGTAATGAGGGATTCATAATGCATTATATCACGTGTCGAACTCATTCCACGGAGGGCCGAGTGTCTGTGGGTTTTCGCTCCACCCTTGTACTTGATTGATGTATTAAAGTCAACCTCACCTGGTTGTCTGGGTCATAACTGAAAGGACAAAAACAAAAACCCGCAGACACTCAGCCCTCCATGGAATTAGTTTGACACCCCTGCATTATATTCATAGTGGGTGGCAGGTAGCCTAGCGGTTAAGGGCCAAGCTGAATAGGTAAAACATCTGTCGATGTGCCCTTGAGCAAGGCACTTAACCCTAATTATCCTGTAAGTCGCTCTGGATAAGAGCGTCTGCTAAATGTCTACAATGTATACAAAAAAACGCGTTCCTCTGAGCTCCGGTATCAAAAGCAACATCACTAATTATCTGCAACCGAGCCATGCTGCCGCCTGGAGGACAGAGCCGGACATTGAGTGCTACAATGCACACGCCTCCTATTGACCAGATAAGGGATGGTCAATTTCCCGTACTGACTGAGTGACTGCGTGTTTTTGAGAGAATGCTCCCCCCAGACCCCTGCTCTGTTTGACCACGACCCCTGCTATTTTTGACCCCTGACCCCTGCTCTGTTCTCACCCCGGAACCCTGCTCTGTTCTTTCCCTTGACCCCTGCTCTGTTCTTTCCCATGACCCCTGCGCTGTTTGACCCCTGACCCCTGCTCTGTTCTTTCCCTTGACCCCTGCTCTGTTCTTCCCCCCTGACCCCTGTTCTGTTTGACCCCTGACCCCTGCTCAGTTCTTCCTCCCTGACCCCTGCTCTGTTCTCCCCCCGAACCCTGCTCAGTTCTCCCCCCCGACCCCTGCTCTGTTCCCCCCCCGAACCCTTCTCAGTTCTCCACCTGACCCCCTTCACCCCCCTGACCCCTGCTCAGTTCCTCCCCCCTGACCCCTGCTCAGTTCTCCCCCCTGACCCCTGCTCAGTTTCTCAGTTATCCCCCCTGACCCTGCTCAGTTCTCCCCCCCGACCCAGGCTCATATTCCACCCCCGACCCCTGCTCTGTTCCCCCCCCCGAACCCTGCTCAGCAGTTCTTCCCCACCTCGACCCTGCTCTGTTCCCACCCCTGAACCCTGCTCAGGTCTTCCACCCATGACCCCTGCTCTGTTCCCCCCCGTACGGGCCGAACCCATCGCTCAGGTTCTCCCCCGGACCCCTGCTCTGTTCCCCCCCGAAACCCTGCTCAGTTTCTCCCCCCCACTTGACCCCTTGCTTCTGTTCTCCACCCAGAACCACTGCTCAGTTCTCCCACCCTGACCCCTGCTCTTTCTCCCCCCATGACCCTGCCTCCGAGTTCTCCCCCCATGGACCCCTGCCTCAGTTGTCTCCCCCCGACCCAGCTCTATTCTCGGTCCCCCTGACCCCTGCTCTGTTTGACCCCTGACCTTTGCTCTGTTTGACCCCTGACCCCTGCTCTGCTTTCCCCCCTGACACCTGCTCTATTCTCCCCCCATGACCCCTGCTCTGTTCTCCTTCCTTGACCCCTGCTCAGTTCTCCCACCCTGTCCCTGGGTCCTCATCCCGTCATTCGCAGTAGAAAGAAAAGGAGATTTCGCGGAAGGAGATCGGGGTGCCTGGTGAGGAGCCGGCGACGAGTAGCTAATCCGCCTTTGCCTTCGATACTATTGGCCAACTTACAATCGCTTGATAATAAAGTGGACGAACTACAGGCACGTATATCCTACCAACAGGACATTAAAAACTGTAATATCTTATGTTTCACCGAGTCGTGGCTGAACGAAGACATGAATAACATACAGCTGGCGGGTTATACACTGTATCGGCAGGATAGAACAGCAGCCTCTGGTAAGACAAGGGGTGGTGGTCTATGTATATTTGTAAACAACAGCTGGTGCACGATATCTAAGGAAGGTGGTTTTGCTCGCCAGAGGTAGAGTATCTCATGATAAGCTGTAGACCACACTATCTACCAAGAGAGTTTTCATCTATATTCGTCGTAGCTGTCTATTTACCTCCACAAACCGATGCTGGCACTAAGACCGCACTCAATGAACTGTATACGTCCATAAGCAAACAGGAAAACGCTCATCCAGAGGCGGCGCTCCTAGTGGCCGGAGACTTTAATGCAGAGAAACATACATCCGTTTTACCTCATTTCTACCAGCATGTTAAATGTGCAACCAGAGGAAAAAAACTCTAGACCACCTATACTCCACACACAGAGACGCGTACAAAGCTCTCCCTCGCCCTCCATTTGGCAAATCTGACCATAATTCTATCCTCCTGATTCCTGCTTACAAGCAAAAACTAAAGCCGGAAGCACCAGTGACTCGGTCAATAAAAAGGTGGTCAGATGAAGCAGATGCTAAGCTACAGGACTGTTTTGCTAGCACAGACTGGAATATGTTCCGGGATTCTTCCGATGGCATTGAGGAGTACACCACATCAGTCACTGGCTTCATCAATAAGTGCATCACTGCCCTTTCACACCTGGACTAAAGGAACACCTATGTGAGAATGCTATTCATTGACTACAGCTCAGCATTCAACACCATAGTGCCCTCAATGCTCATCACTAAGCTAAGGACCCTGGGACTAAACACCTCCCTCTGCAACTAGATCCTGGACTTCCTGACGGGCCGCCTTCAGGTGGTAAGGGTAGGTAACAACACATCCGCCATACTGATCCTCAACACGGGGGCCCCTTAGGGGTGCATGCTCAGTCCCCTCCTGTACTCACTGTTCACTCATGACTGCATGGCCAGGCACGACTCCAACACCATCATTAAGTTTGCCAATGACACTACAGTGGTAGGCCTGATCACCGACAACGATGAGACAGCCCATAGGGAGGAGGTCAGAGACCTGGCCGTGTGGTGCCAGGACAACAACTTCTCCCTCAACATGATCAAGACAAAGGAGATGATTGTGGACTACAGGAAAAAGAAGAGGACCGAGCACGCCCCCATTCTCATCAATGGAGCTGTAGTGGAACAGGTTGAGAGCTTCAAGTTCCTTGGTGTCCACATCACCAACAAACTATCATGGTCCAAACACACCAAGACAGTCGTGAAGAGGGCACGACAAAACCTTTTCCCCCTAAGGAGACTGAAAAGATTTGGCATGAGTCCTCAGATCATCAAAAGGTTCTACAGCTGCACCATCGATAGCATCCTGACTGGTTGCATCACTGCTTGGTATGGCAACTGCTCGGCCTCCGACCGCAAGGCACTACAGAGGGTAGTGCGTATGGCCCAGTACATCACTGGGGCCAAGCTTCCTACCATCCAGGACCTCTATACCAGGCGGTGTCAGAGGAATGCCCTAAAAATTGTCAAAGACTCCAGCCACCCTAGTCATGGACTGTTCTCTCTGCTACCGCACGGCAAGTGGTACCGGAAGTCTAGGTCCAAGAGGCTTTTAAACAGCTTCTACCCCCAAGCCATAAAATTCCTGAACATCTAATCAAATGGCTACCCAGACTATTTGCATTGCCCCCCCCCCCCCCCATTCAGCATAGTGTATTCCCCTCCAAGCCTTTTGCCCATCCCATGCCCTATCGCTGGCCCCAAGGGCGTAGCTTTGATTGTATGTGGGGGGACAACATAACGGTTCTGTCTGAAAATGCTTTGCCATTCAAAGATAATTTAATATTATTGGGCTCTAGCTTCCATTAATTCAAATTTGACACTTTAAATTACGTGACTATACACATTTTTAAGTGTGGGGGAACATGTCGCACCCTCCCCTTGTCCTGTCCATAGTGGAAATCATGCCCACTCACTCACCATCTCCCAGGAACAGAATCGAGTTCTTAGCCCAGCGGACGTTGAGCTTCATATCCAGAGCTTTGTGGAGGGCCTGCTTCCCCTTGTTGTTCCAGTAGCTGGGGTGCTTCTCATGCTCTAAGGAAGAACGTCAACATGTTGTTACGTTTCGTCACATTCATGACATAGTCCATGTTGTTCCAATAGCTCAGTGTGTTTGGTGCTGGAAATAGCGCAGTTGGAGGTTTGTAATGGTTGTGATTCCGAGCTTAGGTCAGATATACTTTGTGTTTAAGATCACTTTATTGGTCAATTACACCGAACTTTGACCTCTGCTTTTAACCCAACCCCTCCGAAAGACACATACATACATAAACAGGTTTTTGGCGAGGTGCTGGGGGGCTGTTGTTGTGGGGGGTTAAGTGCCTTGCTCAAGGGCACAACAGCAGGCAACGGCATCTAGGATTTGGTACCAGAAACCCACCGGTTGCCGGCTCGCCTCTCTTACCGGTAGGCTACCTCTCACTAGCCTTCATGCTGCTTTGCATTAAAGCATCTCTCCATATACTGTAATTGCCTCCCCATTGCCAATGCAGAGTGACACAACTTTAACATACAGCTCAAACACAGAAATAGTAGAAATGTATTGCATTCTTCAAAGAAGTAGTGTCACACTGCACTGTACTTCAGCAAAACTACAAGATGTCATTTCTCTCTTAAATAGATACACGTGATGTGTGATGCATGTCATATTGCATAAAATGAATGTATGTTCAGTTCATATCATTTAGTGTCACACCTTGTGTCACAGATGACAGTTTTTCCTCCTAAAATATTGTTTATTTATTTGGTCTCTTAAGTCCATCCTGTAAACACTCATTCTGATTCTATTTTACGTTCAGTACCTTTCGAAACGAGTGCTGACACTGTCTAAGGACAGGTGTCTCTTGTAAAAAAATATTTTTAAATTCACTATTGTTCAACATGTATGAATACGAAATATCAGATATATACCGAAGTTGTTGTTAATAACCAATTCATTTCAGATAACATAGGAATAACCAAAATGAATTGCTTAATTGGTAAACATACCAAGCAACAAAAAAGGTGTTTACCTGGAATGACAGATGAAGTCCAATCCACAGATAGAAATAAGAGCAATCCAATGATTATTAGGGTATGTTGACTAGCCATGATGTGGGCTATGTGCATGATAATGTCATTAGGAAAACTGAACAAAGTTAGGAATGTTGAAGTACTGTTAGTGGTCCCATTTATGACAGAATGTGGTGGGTTCAAAGGGCAAATATGTAATCCTCGCCATGTGAGAGGAAACACACACGCTTGCACACACACACACACACACACACACACACACACCACACACACATCACACCGCACACACACACCGCCACACACACACACACACACACACACACACACACACACACACACACACACACACACACATACACACACAAAGCCAAACTCACACCGCCACACACACACACTCACACTCAAGCTGACACACACACCGCCACTCTTATCAATCATACATAGGAGAAAATATATATCAACCCTATATATGTATCCACTATACCACCCTATATATATATCCACTATACCACCCTATAAAATTCTCTATACCACCCTATATAAATCCACTACACCACCCTATATATATCCACTACACCACCCTATATATATCCACTACATAACCCTATATATATCCACTACATAACCCTTTATATATCCTGGCACCTACTACCATACCTCGTACAAAGGCACTTAAATATTTTGTCTGCCGATTCACCCTCTGAATGGCACACATACACAATCATGTCTCAATTATCTCAAGGCTTAAAAATCCTTCTTTGAACTGTCTCCTCTCCTTCATCTACGCTGATTGAAGTGGAATTAACAAGTGACATCAATAAGGGATCATAGCTTTCACCTGGATTCACCTGGTCAGTCTATGTCATGGAAAGAGCAGGTGTTCTTAATGTTTTGTACACTCAGTGTATATCCAGTACACCACCCAATATATAACCACTACATAACCCTATATATATCCACTACATAACCCAAAATATATTCACTACATAACGCTATATATATCCACTACATACCCTATATATATCCACTACATAACCCTATATATATCCACTACATAACCCTATATATATCCACTACATAACCCTATATATATCCACTAAATAACCCTATATATATCCACTACATAACCCAAAATATATCCACTACATAACCCTATATATATCCAGGCTCTGTCGCAGCCAGCCGCGACCGGGAGACTCATGGGCGGCGCACAATTGGCCCAGAGTCGTCCAGGGTAGGGGAGGGAATGGCCGGCAGGGATGTAGCTCAGTTGATAGAGCATGGCGTTTGCAACGCCAGGGTTGTGGGTTCGTTTCCCACGGGGGGCCAGTATAAAAAATATGTATTCACTAACTGTAAGTCGCTCTGGATAAGAGCGTCTGCTAAATGACTAAAATGTAAAATGTAATATCCACTACATACCCTATATATATCCACTACATAACCCTATATATATCCACTACATAACCCTATATATATCCACTACATAACCCTATATATATCCACTACACCACCCTAATATATCCACTACACCACCCTATATATCCACTACAAACCCATATATATCCAATACAAACCCGATATATATCCAATACAAACCTAAGATACCACTACATAACCCTAGAGAATCAACACAGAACCCTATAGATAACCACTACATAACCCTAGATATGATCCACTACTCAACCCATATATATCCTCAACATAACCCTATAATATCGACACATAACCCTAATATATAAATATATATATATATATATACATACACTACATAACCCTATAAATATCAACTACATAACCATATATATATCCACTACATAACCCGAATGTCCACAACATAAACCCTATAAACCACTACACGAACTACACCGCACTAATAACCAACAATACACTAACCCAGTAATAACCACTAACACCACCTAATGAGATCCACACATAACCCTATACTAATCCACTACACAACACTCCAACCCTATACATATCCACAACACACCCGATACATATCCACTACACCACCCTATATAATGCCACACTACACACCCTATAGAATCCACTACATAACCCTATATATATATATCCACTACATAACCCTATATATATCCACTACATAACCCTATATATATCCACTACATAACCCTATATATATCCACTACACCACCCTATATATATCCACTACATAACCCTATATATATCCACTACACCACCCTATATATATCCACTACACCACCCAATATATATCCACTACACAACCCTATTGTGACACTCTGGCTCCATGGACTTTGATATTTGAGCCAGGGTTGTTCATTTTCATTTGTTTGGGTGTATTTCATTTGGTGGTGTTGGGGATGGGTGAGTTTCATTTTGGTTGTGTCTAGTGGTGATTGGTCTATGACTCCCAATCGGAGGTAACGAGTGTCAGCTGTCGGCTCGTTATCTCTGATTGGGAGCCATATATATTCTGTGTGTTTTCTCCTTTGTTTTGTGGGTTATTGTTCCAGTGTTATATGTTCTGTCGGTGTCAAAGAGGACTTCACGTATCGTCATTTGTTGTTTTTTCGTGGTTGCTTTAATTAAATAAAGTCATCATGTTCACTCCCAACGCTGCGCTTTGGTCATACTTCATTGGCGATCGTGACAGAATAACCCACCATAAAAGGACCAAGCAGCGCGTCCAGGAGCAAAGGGTCTGGACATGGGAGGAACTGTTGGACGGAAAAGGGTCCTGGACTTGGGAGGAGATCCTGGACGGTATGGATCGCCGACCATGGAGCGAGACGGTGGAGAGGCGACGGCGAGAGGAGCAACGGCGTCGGCAGAGCCAACGTCGGAAGGACGAGAGGCAACCCCAAGAAATTTTTTGGGGGGGGCACATGGCTTGGGAAGCTGGGCAGCAGGAGGCTGCCACAGGGAGAAAAGGAGAGAAGGCTAACGGAGTACGGGAGTCATTGGCGAGTAGAAGGAGGGAAGTGTGTGTGGCACGGCGTGAAGGACTGATGTGTGTTGCCAGTCCGGTCCGGCCCGTTCCTGATCCTCGGTTGAGGCCAGTGGTGTGTGTTCCCGGTACGGACCGGCCTGTTCCTACTCCAAGCACCAGGTCCACGGTGTGCTACGCCAGTCCGGTCCGGCCTATTCCGGCCACTCGCACCAGGGATGCGGTGCGCGTCGCCAGCCCGGCCCGGCCTGTTCCGGCCACTCGCACCAGGGATACGGTGCGCGTCGTCAGCTCAGCCCGGCCTGTTCCTACTCCACGCACCAGGGATACGGTGCGCTTCGCCAGCCCAGCCCGGCCTGTTCCTACTCCACGCACCAGGGATACGGTGCGCTTCGCCAGCCCGGCCCGGCCTGTTCCGGCCACTCGCACCAGGGAAACGGTGCGCGTCGCCAGCCCAGCCCGGCCTGTTCCTGCTCTCCGCACTAGGCGTGAGGTGAGTCCCCAGGGTCCAGCATGCCCTGTTCCGGCTCCCCGCACTAGGTGTTATGGGAGTCCCCAGGGTCCAGCATGCCCTGTTCCGACTCCCCGCACTAGCCCTGAGATGCGTGTCCTCAGCCCGGTACCTCCAGTTCCGGCACCACGCATCAGGCCTATGGTGCGTCCCCAGGGTCCAGCATGCCCTGTTGCTTCTCCCCGCACTAGCCCTGAGATGCGTGTCCTCAGCCCGGTACCTCCTGTTCCGGCACCACGCACCAGGCCTACGATGCGCCTCAGACGGCCAGAGTCTGCCGTCTGCCCAACGGGGCCTGAACTGCCCGTCTGCCCAAAGCCTGCAAAGCCGCCCGTCTGCCATGAGCCATCAGAGCCGTCCGCCAGACCGGAGCCGCTAGAGCCTTCCGCCAGACAGGATCAGCCAGAGCCTTCCGCCAGACAGGATCAGCCAGAGCCTTCTGCCAGACAGGATCAGCCAGAGCCTTCTGCCAGACAGGATCAGCCAGAGCCTTCTGCCAGACAGGATCAGCCAGAGCCTTCCGCCAGACAGGATCAGCCAGATCCGTCAGTCGGCCATGAGCAGCCAGATCCGTCAGCCAGCCATGAGCAGCCAGATCCGTCAGCCAGCCATGAGCAGCCAGATCCGTCAGCCAGCCATGAGCAGCCAGATCCGTCAGCCAGCCATGAGCAGCCAGATCCGTCAGCCAGCCATGAGCAGCCAGATCCGTCAGCCAGCCATGAGCCGTCCAGCCAGGATCCGCCAGAGCCGTCCAGCCGGGATCCGCCAGAGCCGTCCAGCCGGGATCCGCCAGAGCCGTCCAGCCGGGATCCGCCAGAGCCGTCCAGCCGGGATCCGCCAGAGCCGTCCAGCCGGGATCCGCCAGAGCCGTCCAGCCAGGATCCGCCAGCCAGCCAGGATCCGCCAGAGCCAGCCAGCCAGGATCCGCCATTTAGTCAGGTGCTGCCCCTTAGCTCGGTGTTGCTCCTTATCCTGTTGCTGTCCCTTATCCTGTTGCTCTCCCTTATCCTGGTGCTGTCCCTTAGCCTGGTACTGCCCCTTAGTCCGGTACTGCCCCTTAGTCCGGTACTGCCCCGTAGTCCGGTGCTGCCCCTTAGTCCGGTGCTGCCCCTTAGCCCGGTGCTGCCCCTTGTCCCGGTGCTGCCCCTTATCCCGGTGCTGCCCCTTATCCCGGTGCTGCCCCTTAGGCCGATGCTGCCCCTTAGTCCGGTGTTGCCCCTTAGTCCAGGTGGGGTTAGTTGGAGGGTGGTCATTGGGAGGAGGCTACCGAAGCAGGTTGTGACTGTGGTGGGGTGGGGATCACGACCGGGGCCAGAGCCGCCACCGTGGACAGACGCCCACCCAGACCCTCCCCTAGTCCTGATGTTGGTGCGCCCAGGGGGTTCGCACCTTTAGGGGGGGGTACTGTGACACTCTGGCTCCATGGACTTTGATATTTGAGCCAGGGTTGTTCATTTTCATTTGTTTGGGTGTATTTCATTTGGTGGTGTTGGGGATGGGTGAGTTTCATTTTGGTTGTGTCTAGTGGTGATTGGTCTATGACTCCCAATCGGAGGTAACGAGTGTCAGCTGTCGGCTCGTTATCTCTGATTGGGAGCCATATATATTCTGTGTGTTTTCTCCTTTGTTTTGTGGGTTATTGTTCCAGTGTTAAATGTTCTGTCGGTGTCAAAGAGGACTTCACGTATCGTCATTTGTTGTTTTTTCGTGGTTGCTTTAATTAAATAAAGTCAT